TTGTGAGTACATTAAAAATTTCAATTAGTTCTAATTGTTGTAATAATATTTGATGAATAATATGTTTTCAAACGTTCCGTATATTTTAAATTTATCTTTTGATTAAATGTTATTCAATTTTTACAGAATTTCTCGTTATATTAAAACTATTTATTTCAAACCCTTTGATATATTCATGTTTCGTAACGTTTCGGGTTATTAGAATTCAGGGCGTTACAGCTCCATTGTCCATAGTTGATTCCTTCGAGTGGTTTGGAGACAAGAATCAAGCCGGGATGATCAGAATGATGTAAAGTGAGTGGATCAGATTGGCTGGTTGTTATCTCAGATTTTGAACTTCCATCTCCCGTGGTTGCAGGTGATTTTGAGCCTTCATCCTCTATTGTTGCAGCAGAAGATTATTTCTCAAAATCAATAATGCTCTGATACCAAGTTAAATTTGGTTTTGGGAGAGAATAAGAGGAACGTTTTCTGTATTGCTTATAAGTGAATAATACATCAGTACAGGAACTCTACATATATATTGCTAACTTTCCTAAGTCTACTCAATTACATAAGGAATGGAATAAACAATAATATGAAAAAGATAATTACAAATCATTACAGATGGAAATTTCCTTCTATGCCAATATATGGAGATTTGTTTCCTTTAATAGGTGGTGGTGGAGAAGCTTTGGTTGGTCAAGGTGGTTGCTGAAGCAGGATCAACAATTATTTTCACGTATGGATTGTCCTACGATACCACGTTAAGATTAACAATTGGAGCTAAAATAATTGAGTGACTAGAATTTTCTGTGTATTCTCAATATTAATAATTTTGCATCTGAGTAGTACTAATGCTTTACAATTGGAGTAATACTGCTAGATCTATACGTGTGTAGAAACACCCTGCTACAATTGATTTAAATTTGTTTGATAAATATTATGACTATAATGAAGAGTTATCTGAATTGCGTAGAACTTTATCTCTAACCTAAGGAAGATTGAATTTTTACTCCATTATCTACCTACTTCACTTTCCGTAATTATCAAAAATGAGATAGGTATAGCTAGTCGTATACATTTTCACTTGCACTACGGCTTATTTGATGTAGATCTTTTCAAAATAGATGTAGTGAAAATTGATCATTTTGGAGAATATGTGGTTAAAAATTATGAATCCGCATATAAAATTATTTTATTTGAAAAGTGTGTGATTGAGAATAAATTTAATGAAAAAATGAATTTAAAGAATTTGTATCAAACCTGAGCTACGTAATTTTTACTTTAGACTATTGACTTAGTCTTTAAATAGCCGATGAGAAAATTCCTTCATAAACCATTTTTTCCCCAGGAAGCTCGGAAGGTATCCTATGAAGGTGTGAACAAATTCTAATTCCATCTTGAGCTACAATAGGAGTTATATTATTAATTATGGGTGGGTTTTATGATTGCTTGAAACGTATCACTACCTTTATATCTTGTTTGTTTTTTTATTTTTAATTATACATTTTCTAATATAATAATTTTATAATTGAATCCATAACTTCTTCTTATCTTTTTTAATAAATTACACGCTCTTCAAAAAATAATAATAATAATAAAAATCACATCTCATATGATCACTCCTCGGAAAATCAAAATGTTACTTTAACTTTACAAATAGGGAATTATAAAATATATTTGAGATGGAAAGTTTTCTGTTTTATGTCACGCCTGTCTCCTTGACACCTGAAAGTATGGAATTAATTAATTAATTAATCATCGTTAACAAATTATTAACTTACTTGACACTGCAATGATGAAAAGACAGCGAATCTTCTATTCCTTGATTACACTCCAGGAGAAAAAATATTCAATAATTAATTAATCAAATTTTTAATTATATTATATTTAGCACCAGTTTGATAGAGATTTAAAGTAAATTTATATAGTAGATTTTAATAAAAATTAATAAAATATATGATTAAAAAATTGAAAATATCATAAAACATATTGTTAAAATTAGTTATAAACTTGAACTTACAATAAAATTTTAATTTTAATTTTAATTTTAATTTTTACCAAATCGGGACTGAATATGATCTAACCAGCTAATGCCTAACATTTACGATTAAGAAATATAACTATCAACAGAGATTAATGA